CGCACGATGTCTTCTCTCCAGCTAACTAGGCTGGGGCCGAGGCTTTGTCCAAAACTGAGTGCCCACTGTAAGCACCGGTTGTGTGGGGAGAAGTGCAGGCGGTTGCTGTCGAGTCTAAGAGCCCACGCCAGGTGTGCTCGAGTGTCCTCTGACGGGCCATGCAGCTCCATTTGGACTGGTTCACGTGGGTCCCATGTCAGACCTGATCTAAACCATATGGCAGCTGCTCTCTCGATTGGACGTGCACCTAACGGGTTTAAGTTAGAGCTCCAGGGAAGNNAGTGGCGAGGAAGCTTCGTACCATTCGGGATGGGACCTGCTGAAACTGGAATGACATTGCAGCTCGCAAGAATCACGAACAGGACGAATCTTGCAGATTGTAGATGCCAGGAGTTCCCTAGCATCTTGCATTTCGCTCTCTCGGCGATCTGACAACCTTGAGGGGACACAGTGCCTGACGGGAGACCTTGAAGGAACTCGCGAGTTAGGGAGTCGGGCGTCCTCCACTGACCTTGTATCTTAACAAGGGCTTGCTCCCGATATTGGTGGGGGGGGTACTGACGAGATGCCGCTGCCCATCGTCTGAGAGTCTCGGAGTCTTCGGTCCGACGACGTTTACCTGGCGGGTTCCTGCCTTCGTCTGACGGAGCGGGGGTGGTGAGGCAGGGGAAAACTGATCGGCCAGCTTGCACTTCAGGGTGGAATGAAGCTGACTTGCAGTCTGCGGCATTCTGCTTGGGGAAGTGGTGGGAACTGGGCAGCAACTGCCAGCACCTGTTGTACTTACGCCATCTGGCAAGTCCAGCCAGCACTAACGGGACTTCAGAGGCACCAGCTGACGGGGGGGTCACTGTGTTCGTCCACCAGAGTCTAGGTCTAGAGATCAAGCTCCAGGACGACGCGTCGATGACGAACGAGGGCACGCCCACTAACTGGTCAAGTTCGGCGTGAGTCGAAGCCGAAGGGACGACGTTCTCAAGCAGGAAAACGTACTGTCTCTTGAGGACTGACCGGAAGGTTTTGAACCACTGGACCCACTTTCGGAATTTGCAACCTTCGGTCCCCTTCAAGCCCGGTTGTGAGGATCTGATCTGACTGAAGTCGGTGCACGGCGGACTGGAGCAAATGACGACTAACGTGTCGTCAGGGCACTGCTGGTGGAGGTATTGTGCGACCTGGGATGCGTCGGAGGCGAGTGCGTCACCCCAGTGCTTGACCTGGGGGGTGTGTGCTGAAGTGACTCGTTTGCAATCATCGTCAGTTTCCCAAGACCAGGATAAGACTGGCGAGATGCCTAAGTCGCGCAGGGCGATGAAGGTGGTACCGATGCCGCAGAAGAAGGAAAGGGCTGCGATCGGACGGGAAGAAGGACTCGGTTTGTTGGAGGAAGGGCGCGAAGAGCGCGAGGAGGCCCAAGTCGGGGCTGACGGGTAGGTTGCAGGGTGGTGCTCGACCGGCTGGGAGCACGACACGGGGTAGGTGGAGGGTGGGGGGTGCTCGACCGGCTGGGAGCACGACACGGGAGTGGTTGCAAGTGGGAGATGCTCAACCGGACGGGAGCACGGCACAGGCTGAGTGACTGCGTTGTGTGGCTGCAGGAGTGACTGTACGCCCGGTGCACCAAGGCCAGGTAGTGTGGCGGTAGGTAAGTCCAAGCGTGGCCGGTGAGAATGCAAGTTGGAGGGGCGTGCAGGCGAGCTGGCCGTGAAAGGCGCGTCAGCCTGCTGGGTGCAGCTATTAGGACTAAAAGGGTTAGGGCCTGCACACCTGGTGGGTGCAGGAAGACACGGGTTAGGGAAGGCTGTTAGGGGCTGTTTTGAGCTGTGGGAGAACGGGCTGTTGCGAACTGGGCTACGCTGCCTGCTCTCCTGAACCTGCGATGGGATTCTTGGGCCCTTGTGACTCTGGTCGGCTCTGACTGGTGGGCCACCCAGCTGGCCGTGCTGTCCCTAAGGCCTCTGTGGCGTGGAGAAGGGTGCTCGGGGCGCGACTGGCGGGAACTGCGGGGCTGTGTTGAAACTCTGTCCTGACTGGCTGCCGTGTGCAAACTTACAGGAAGAACCGAACTTGCAAAAACCTTGAGCGAACAGTCTGCACTGAGGTCGGGGCTGAAAGGGTGGCCTGTACGGCTGGTTCTGAAGCCACTGGCGTTGCTGAAAGGTCTTCCCTTTGCCTGACTCGGAACCCTTCTCCCCGAACTGGCCCCTGAAACCTTTAGAATCGCCTTTAAAACCTGGGTCTCCCTTAACCTTCTTGTGCTCGCCAACCTCGAACGGGACGGGGCGATTGAGCTCGTCTTGTTTCGGCCAGCTCATCGCCTCGCCGGATGCTTCTTTGAAGGACTTACCGGCTCGCATCTGCAGGGTTACGTGGAGAAAGGCTTTGTCAAAGAAGGCTCTAACTTGGGGGAACCGGTTAGGGTAGTCCCTGCACATGTTTTGCCAGAACTCTGACCAGATGGTCGCGTCGTGCTCGTCGCACCACCTTGCGAACATGAGGGCCCACTTTATCGCGTCGATGGCATCTAACAGGGTAACAAGCTTCTGAGGCTCGGGGACCTGCCGCATGGCCTTGGTGAAGGTACCTGAGTCATCGAGGAAGAGCTTGGTTCGCGTATCGTCCTTAGGCGCGAACGGGTTGGCGGCTTTGCTTGGGGTAAAGTGCCTTAGGGAAATTATTTCGCCTAAACGAACTGGGGAATACTGCTTAGAGGTCTGGCGTTGAAACACCATCCTTGCCAAAACTTCTTCGGCACCTAACAGGAGATGGGAGGGAAATTCCCTGTTGCGGCCTAACAGCACGACGGACTCAAAGTCCTTCACGTATTCTGCCCAATAGTTTTTGGGCAACGTCTTCGGGATCTTGTCTGACGGGTCCGATGCTGTTGCGACTGCGCCTGATGTGCCTGTGGTGCCTGACGGGGTCGTCGAAGCGTGGGCCATCATGGCCGCGTGTTTGACTGTTAGCTCATCAAGAGCTACCTTAGTGGCCGCTTCGAGAATCAGCCTCTCATCGTCGCTCCGTTTCAGGACATTGCCGGCTATGTCGTAACCTGTCCTCAGCGGATCGAAGAAAGCCTGTATCTTAGAGTTGTCCTTGAAGTAGTGCAAGAACAGGCCACTATTGGTGATACCTTTAGCTGACAAGTATGCGATCATCTCGGTATCAAAGCCGGATCGCGTGGCCACGTCGTCAAGGTC